TTGGCCAGTACGAGAGAGGCTGAAGCAACCTTCAAGGTTGAGACAGTGACTGCTGCTGACTCACTCTGCAGCAAGATACTCCTCTGACCAACTGAACTGAACCACAGCAGTGTTGCCACAAAAGCAAGCTACAGAACAAGTACGTGCTGATTAAACCTGCTCTAGGGTCCACCCACCAGTAACATGAGGCAATGCCTGAGGAAAACATCTTCAAGATGCAAGCAATTCGCTGAGGAACAGAACTTACATAACTACAAAAACAATTAGACCTTAGAGAGTTTCTGTATCAACAGATTTCAACACTCAAAATATAGATAGCTAAAGGTCATTATCCACACTTTACAGAAAGAGAAATGAAATAAAATCATAACATGATTCATCTGTTACACGCTGTATGAGCAGAATTTAGGCCTGCAGCTCCTCTAATTTCTAAAAAACAAGCTTTCCAAGAAGACTGCACAGTATAGTGTACCCAAAACTAAGCACCTACCCCAGAGAAGGAACAAAAGACATTTCACTGAACTTCCATTCTAACACACCCCCCCAACATTTGTATACACATACCTAGGTGTGTATATAAACACAAAATATACAAGCCCCTTTACGTATGCATTCAAAGAAGTCTAAAAAGACTCTGCTGGACTACAGAATAGAAGAATGCAAACAAACACCAGAGTTTAGATACATGACTCAGGGAAGAGAGAGCATGCCTACCTAGCATAGTTTTCCTTCATTCTATTAGAATGTTTCTCAATTCCTACATTTCTTTCTTCAGTGACAGGACAGATCTAGTTTCTGATGTCAAAACCCAAACAAACAAAGAGATCAGGGTTTGTTTTTACAACAGATTGAATCTGTGACTAGAGCTCAATTAACTAGGTATGTTTTACTAAGATTAATGGACATATTCTTCTACAAGTCTCAGCAAATGTTTGAGTAAGGTGGGAAAACAGATTAGCACAGAAACAGAATGAGATCTGATACCTTTTTTTCATACATACTTATTGGCAGGCTTGCTGCTGTTTTTCTTAGTTGTAAATACTAGATGAGTTATTAAAAGATGTTCATAGCCTTCAGAAAGAAATATTCTCATGTTATACAGCGGCAGCCTACAAATTCCTACCTCCTGCTATCAATAACTTTTTACAAAGGACTTCAGGATATTTGAACAAGACTTAACAGAACTTGTCCCTCACCCTCCTCTGGCATTACATGTGGTAGTGCAGCAGGTCAGACCACTGGATTCAAAGTTTATGCCTTGGGAGCTTCCTTGGTGTCCAAGGCAGGCAGAGTGCTCTGAGAAAAGCCTCAGCATAAACAGGGATCAGATCTGCTACAGCACCTGCATGCTCTAAAGGTTGTGGAGTACATCCCAGAGATGGGACTGAGACTAAGAGCAAAACAGACTTGGTTGGGAGGAAAAAAACCTGGCTTTACATGTTGCCATTTAAGAGAAAAACCTCATTTAAAACAACAAAAATAAACACTCCAAAAGATCTGTTAGGATTTGGAAACCAAGAAGGAATTTAGTAGGCAAGCAGTAAAGATGATGAGTAGCTACATATCCATCTAAAATTATTGTGTGTTTAGAATGGATGACAGAGCATGTCCCCAAATAGTGAGCAAGAGTGAATCTATTCCTTACACTACTCAGTACATGTGTGTTCCCAAATTCCTTTGCCATGCCCACCTACCTAGACTGTCGTGCCTACTTCCAAAAAGGCTTTTCGCACATTAATCACCATGGAAACCAGAGAAGGCTTCTGCTACATATTCAAGCAGAGTAATTAAATAAATAACGTTAATAATAAAAATAAAATTAATGAATGCCTGGAGACAACTAAGCAAATAGTAACCCACCCCAATTCAAGTAAAATGAGAAACAGATTGCAAAAGATTTATTTACGTGGGGGAAGGCTGCTAAAATGGCAGCCCGCAGTCGCTCCTGGGCACAGGTGCGAGTTTGTGGGGCGGCTGGATGCGCCCAGGGAGCGTTTCCACGGGAGATCAGATTATGGACACGCACCCCAGTGTGTGCGGGACACAACAGGGGCTGGTCCCGCGTCAGCCCCCGGTTTAGGACCAGCCCAGAACCGTGAGGTGACTGGCTCAGGCAACTTGGAAAGAGAAACAAGTCCGGCATAAAGAAGAACACAAACAATTATTGCGGGGAGGCGGCGGCGGCAGTCGCGCGGTGCTGCTGCCACGCGTGCGGGCGACTCGGCCCGCCGGGGCACGGGGAGCTCCGGGCGTCGTCGGCGACGGTGCGGGGGAGCGCTCGGTGAGGCGCGCGGTGCTCGGTGCGCAAAGCAACGGGCGGCCGGGCGCTTGGGAATGTTTTTATGGAGGGAAAAACAAAACAAGCAACAAACAACAAAAAACACAACAACGACCAAACGCGGCGGAGGAGGGGATGGAAAAAGCCGCCGGAACAAAAAGGGGCAGATGTTGAACAAAACCCGAGCCCCCCCGGCCCGGCCGCGTTTTGAACGGGCCCGCGCCCGCTCAGCCAACGGCGCGCGGAGCGGCGGGGCGCGTGACGTCACGCGGCGGCGGGGGCGCGCGGCCCGCGGGCAGAGCTGTCAGAGCCGCGGGCCGCGCCGGCCTGCCGCCCGGGTGTTGAGCGCGGCGCCGGGAGATGAGGGTAGGCGCCGGGGCACCCGTGCGGCACGCGGGGGTGGGGAGAGGCAGCCGGGGCGCTGCGCAAGGGGGGAGGGGACGGCCGGGTTCTGCTCGGAGCTGCCCCGCGGCGGAGCCAAGCTCGCGTCCCGCCGCCAGCGAGCGGCTCCCGGCGGCAGAGCTGCCGGGCTCGGGGAGGAGGCTGTGACCGCCCGGGGGGCGCAGGGGGCGGCGGTGCTGCGTGGGCGCCGCGCAGCGCCGCCGGGGGCGGGTTGGCTGAGCGCGAGGGAGCGCCCGGATGCTGCGCCGCCGCGTTCGCTGCCCCGCCGATCGCCTCGGCTGTGCCGGTGGAGGCCAGAGGTGCACGCGGGCACCGCAGCCCCGCCGAGAGAGCCAGCGCTCGGCTTCCCCCGCTGCCATGCCGCCGGGATCGGCGCACGCTGCGCCCGACGAGGGTCTTTAAAAAGAAAACTGATGCAACAACGAGCGCCTTAAAGGAGTTTAAAGGGCTTAGTGGCAAACCCGGGGTGCGTTTCCCGCTAAAGCGTCTTGTCGGTGGGTGCTTAGTTGGTTATGAGCTTTCCTTAAAAACCCTGTGCCACTTCAGGCTATGAGCCAGAAGTGCTCATCACAGCCAGACCATCCTGAGAAGCGCCTTTGGGCTGTACTGCTATGGACCTTAAAAGGGAAAAAAGCAAATTACTAGGGAGTTACATAGCACAGATAGCAAAGCTGGCAGCTTCAGCATATGCTCTAGTGGTTCCTCAGATTGTTATGTACTGCAGCATCTAGGCCTAACAGATAAAAATCTGTGGAATACTGAGTAATCTTAATGCTTGTTTGTGGAGAACTGTGACTTTTCATTTCTTTTGATATTACTTTAGATTCTGCATTTTTTGTTTTATCTACGTCCTAAACTTCTGAAACTGAACTCCATTCCTCAGGTAGTCTATTACACAGATGCTATATTTTAATTTACTGAGAATTACACTTCCCTTATATCTGTATTACATATGAACATGTAAAGTCATCTGGTAAAACCCACAAAACAGTTCTGCTTACCAGCTTGATATATAAGTGAATCTGTCACCTTGATGAACAAGTACTGTTAATATTGGTATTTTTTCCTTACAGTGCACCTAGCACTCATCTGAGCTTAAGAACAGAAAAATGTTCTATATCCCAGCTGTAAACAGGAACGATTTGGAGAATTTGAAGGGGAAAATGTGCCTTGCATTAAAAAATTGCTCAGGAGAAGACTTATGTGCAAGACAGGAGTGCGGTTAGAAACAGCTGTCAGTTTAAGGGTACTGGGAATGGCTTAATCCTTTTCATCTACATAAGTGCTTGTCAGAGTATCTCAGTATCACGTTTGTTTCATAGCTGGTGAGACAGCAGCTCAAGGGTTAACACTGCCTTTTCACTTGATCTTCTAAACAGTCTTAACTATTCCAGCAGCCAGGGGGAACTGTTTCGATGCTGAATAGATTTTCAACCTTTACATACAGTAACAGGATGTTTTGTTTAGCCTTCTGCATAGATTTAAGCTGTAGCCAGTTCAAAACAAATAAATAAAAAAAAACCCTAGAGTTTACTCAAAGATTGTGGTATAGTGATACAGTTTGTGGCCAAGGGGAGGGAGGTGGAAACCCCAAACCTTCATGTGGTTTTTGTGTTGTGACATCAGGTTTGTTTCCTAAGCAAAAATCTCCAAAGAGACTGTTTAAAATTAGAGTTGTATATTACAGTTTATGTCACAGGATTCAGGTCCACCCAGTTCATGGTTTCATGTACATGTTAAAAAAAAAAAAACAAACCTATTTTGTTTGGAAAGGATGTGTCCCCCCCCCTGTTTCCAGTGATATCTACGTGCAGAAGATGCACTTGTGTTGAGACCTGGACTACATCTAGCTACAGAAGTGGTGAAGGATTTATCATCACAAGTGAAGTGTTTTGGCCAAAGATCTGACTTCAAAAAGAGTAAAAAGAGGAACATTAAGGCACAGTGTTTGTTTGTTTGTTCAGTAAGGCACCACTTCAGTATCTTTGAAATTCATAAAGCATTTTGTATTTTCATCTCTGTATAGTTTTATGCATAAAGAAGCAGGGTAAAACTGGGGAGAAAGAAGAAATCAAGTACAGTGAGAAAAATTCTTACAGCTTGTGCATCTACAGCCTTCGAGATGTAGTTTAAAGTGCATTTCAAACACCAAAGCCAGCTTACAGATGTGTGATTGCTTGGATTCAGAACTCAGCTTGAACGCTGAGGCTGCCTTCAGTCAAATATGTAATTGTGTTTAATGTATGCCTCTGTAAAACCCACACATCAGACATCCTGAAAGAAAGCTTAACCCTCTCTCCTTCTTTTGCTGCTTCTGCAGGAAACTATGCCCCAGACACCAATATTTTCCAGCATGCTTGGTTCCAGTTGTAGTGGGCAAGTGCAGCCAGACATGGGAGAGAGATGTGTGGACCCTGTTTATCAGGATGGGAACCTTGTTTCTGGATCACTGGAGGCCTTGATAGAGCGCCTGGTGCCCACCATGGACTATTATCCAGATGTAAGTAGCCACTGAAAGTTTTTTTGTTTTCTTCCCATAGTTTTCCTGCATTACTATCTGGATTGGTCCTTTCTCATGAAATCTCCATCTGATTCAAGATTAAGATATAGGCTAAAGATGAATTTATTTTATTTGCAATATTCATTCACTAAAGATGTTGCTCAGTGGGGATACTCTCTGTTTTTAAATGAGAGCACTTGTTAGAAGGATAAAGCCCTGTTGAACTCAAATGGGTGCCTTAAGAACCAATTAAAAGCAGCATTAGCCACAGAATTTTCATCCTTCTAAGCTGCTTTAGGTCTAATGCAGCCAAGATTAACTACTAACCAGCTCCTACCTAGGGAAGCAGACCTGAAAACATCTCTGATATTTTTCCTTTAATTTTCTATGCATATCCTAGTTACGCCACCAAAATAGATTTTAATTAAAATACTCTCTTTCTCCAGACATTTTAATGGGCCAAAGCTATAATAATGTATGTTCTTGAGCCTGAAATTGATTTTGCAACTGGTTAAACATCCTCAGTGCAGTCCCCCAAAGTAAATACTACTTATAACTCTAGGGTATGCAGTAAGAATCTGACCCTAGGATATTATTAAAATATCACTTTATCACTTAAAATTACCCCTTGTACCCATTAACGAAAAGTACTACTTAAATGAGTAGCCAAAGATCAGAGAGGCTGTATAACATATATTCTATTTGAGCTCTGAAAAAGCAGCAGCTATGGCAGAAATATCCCAGCACTTTGTGCAAACTAACAGGGGGGCAGGAAACTGCAATCATTATTAACTTGTATGCCAAACAATGTTTATAGTAGTGGGCCGTGCTATACCTTGTGTTTCTCAGACTAATTTGTGTAAAACTTCTTATTGTGGTCTCATATCAATGGCAATAAAGTCCCACCAAGGTCCCACATATATATCACACATCTTCACAATCCCCATCCACAAAAAGGGGACTCCCCATATGAGAGTTCTGTGGGTAAATGCAGCAGAATTGCCATCAGTCATCAGTAGAGGATTAAAAAAAGCAAAACCAGGATGGTTTACTATTCCAGTTCAAAAGTAATCCTAAACCTTATATTTAAATATGGCTAACATACGATTGTGCTACCAGTACCAAATCTTTTATAAGACTCAGAGGGATCCCTTTTATAAGCAGAGGGATAACCATTGTTAGACATTAAATCTCCCCACCCCGAATACATATTGTAGAACAGAGATGCTGAAGAAGGTAGTGGGTAGAGCTGGTATGGTATAGCAGCAGAATAGCTTTAGGGTGCTGTAGTTAAGCCTTCCAAGGAGTCAGTTCCTTGTCTTTTATGTCATACTGGAATATGGTTACTTGCTACTTGGATTTCTGGACTGTAGCTTAAAGGTTTTTTTTAAGTAGCTGCTAATGCACATCCCTTATTGTAACTTGTAACATAAGATCTATTTATAACACAGCTACTCTGAAAATGGTTCCATAAACTGAGCATTACTTAAGGGGTCTACAACTTATTTTGGAATGCTGCTGGTTTCCATGGTGCTATCCCTTCATCCCCCGCACAAGGGAGCATTCCCATTACCAAGCAGTCGTGGACCCCACCCTGTAGGCTGACAGCTGAAAATCCAACAGAAGCAAAGAGAACTCCAAGGAAAGAGAGATGGAAAACAGCATTAAACCAAATTCATCTCCTCTACAGCACAACACATACCTTTAGTTAAGTCATATCACCCAATTTAGGATTAATTATAAAATGAGTAGATAAATAACGTACAAACAACATAAAGAAGGAGCTGTATTTGAGTCATCTTCAAACCCAAGTTTTCTATTTCAGTTCAGTTACATGTTTATACTTCATTTCACGCTCATTTCTATTTTTAGGGAAGTTGCCACAGAGGGTTGGTGATAGCCATGTAGGCTGATATCCTGTCAGAAGAGTAGCCAATCCTGTACATTCAAGAGAAAAGTATAAACGTCTCAGTCTCTGACTGCTCATGCAAAGAAAGGCAGCAAGATATTACCAATTAATTCGCACCAAGAGAAGCTATTGGTAACATTAGCAGAGGTTACCTTAGTTTCAGTGTGGCAGATCTGTAAGTTATCAGTACTCATTCAGATTTTTGATTAGTACATCTGAGCACAGTGCTCAGAAGGCATTCCTTCGTGTGTGCACATTAAGCTGATGATCACAGTAACCTTCTAGACAGAAAAAAAAAGGGAGCGGGGGAGAAAGCAAACACAAAGTGTCTTTATGTGCTGGTTACAGAGGCAAAACAAAAATGTATTTGCCATGTTGGCAGAGCACGAGACAGGCAAGGGAGGACAGGAAAGATAAGCGCCTACATTTGTGTACTGCTCTTCTGAGTCTTGTTTGTGTACAGGGACTTGTTCAGCACATAGAAAAATGTATACTCATGAGACAGAGGAGTTCGGAAGGTTAGGAATGGAATGTACCAGTCTGCAACCCTTGTGCCCAAGCAAGAAAATGTTTCAAGAAAATATTTCACAAACAAGAAGTTTGAGAATGAGCAGTGAGTGCACAAAGAAAAATTTTATTTTTTTTTTCCCCTCCTCGAAAAGTCATCAGTGCATTCTTGGGTCGGAGAGTAACAATTCCTTCTTTAGTCTTGTGTGCTCGTGCTCTGTCTTTTTTTTTTTTTAATATAATTCAGCTCATCTCTTAGCAACAACTTTAGGCACTAAAGGAATCTGGCTTCTTATTCTCTTGTAAAGCACAAGACCCTTTTGTGTTAACTTACGTTGTTCCAAGTGCAGAAAGGATTTTTTTTTTTCGGCTCTCCTCCCAAATACCTGTCACTTTTGTAGGATAAATTGAGCTTAACTTTCAACCTTACAGCTTATGGAAGCTTTTTTTAATCATTCTTTATCAAACCAGATAGCTTCATAGCTAAGTTTCCTTCCCTAAACCATCATCTTCGTGATTAGAGGGCTGCCTATGACACATTGCAGGTTTTTAGTTAAGACATTTAGCCTATATGTGTATGGTAGTGTAGGTGCAACAAATCACATAAATCCTTGATCTAGATAAGGTATATGACATTAATATGAAATATTACTATCCAAACCAACTGTGTTCCTAACCCCTGAGACCTCCCACTAAGCTGAAATGCATGGGTTAGCTCACCCTGAAATTTCTTTATTGGATAAGGAGTGGGTATTAGCAGAGAAGCAAGGAGTTGGGGATCAGTACTGCTGTCAGACCTATCGTTTTTAATTTGGTTCTTAATTGCAGTTAGTCCTTGTCTGTGCCAGCATAAGTAATACAAGTATTAAAAAACCCCTTCAATTAGATACTGGTATAGTGTAAACCTGCATATCTTGCTTCACCCTAACGGGACAATTTTGTTTTCCAAAGTACTGAACCTAGTTCCAGTTAAGTGACTTAAAAAACTGAATAAAAATACAGCAGATGGATTCCAGAACAAATAATTTGTTTCTAAACCCAAAAAGTCCAGTGCTGTATGGAAAAGCATTGCATGGGTCCAGTACAGCTATTCCTGATTACAGAGAGACATCAGCAAGCTTAAAATGGAAAGTAAGCACTTGTGTGGCCTGTATCTTCCTGCATCTTGCCAGTTCAACACTTCTATGAACATCAGATAAAACATTATCAAAGAAACCAAATAAAAGCACAGGTCATCTGTGTCACACTTTTCTTGCAGTATAACAATAGGTAAATGATACTGTTGAGTGGGCCTTCCTCAGAGTCACTCTGGATAAAGTGTCACACACTACACAAACTTTCACCAAGGAGACCAACTCTAGAATTAGCATGAGAAGCAAAATTACATCTTTCCTTAAAGAACATGTTCCAGCTTATCAGAGCACAGGTCATTACCAGGGCAGTGTGGCTTAAATTGTGGTTCCCTGCTACTTACACGTACAGGCAACTTTGAGACAGGCCTCTAAATGCCCCAAACAAGAATGTGGGGAAAGGATGAAAGTGTCAAAGATTTTTTTTTTTGTTTGTTTCTTTTTTCCCCCTCATCTCACAAATTCAAAATTGTAGTAGAAGTGAGGGCTGCTTCAGGTTTTCAGTACAAAAGTTTTCACGTAACCCAGTGACAGCTGACACACCCCACCAGCTGAATTCCTGTCCCAGATAGACCAGACTCACAGTCTTAAGTTCAGGGACACCAACGATAGCAATGGATACATGAGCTAGCTACAAAAAATAACAGAGGATAACTAGGCATAGTTTAACAAACACACTCTCCCCCCTCCCAAATCTCACGACCCAATCTTTCCCTTGCTTTCATTCTGAATAAGGAGTGTATCAGTTTAAGAATCATTCTCATACACGTAAGAATAAAAGACCTGATGTGTTGTCCCGTATCACAACCAAGTCCCTTTTTGTGAATCAGGTTAGCTTTTCAGCCTAATTTTAGTGCCCATAACTCACCACATACAGTACCACAGATGATAAAATTCTTCAAAACCAGCACAATGTCATTAACTGTTTCCAGATGCAGGTTCAAGAGCTACATTGAATTGCTTTTTAGAATTGATGAACTTCAAGGTTGTTTCACTGTAAATGTAAAAATAAACTCTGAAATTCTGGAGAGACATAAAATACCAAACAGAAGCCTAATTTCTTAGATTTCCTAAGGTACACTTGTGTGGGATGTTTGCAGCCATGTCATCAAGAGGGGAGGCTGTGCTACCACTGTCCTGTCACTGCCCTGGCCACCTGCTCAAAGTCAGCAAGAGCCTGATTGTTAGATGGCCCCAGCAGTCCATCTTCTGTAGGCATCAGTGGAAGCAATCAAGAGCCTGACCCAAGCTATCCATCCAGTTAACCCTTCTCCTCCTCTCTTCCTCTCTTCATAAACAACAGACAAGGCAAAGACTACAGATTAACTCTGGTTTTGATTGTACAGAATTAATGCTATTTCTAGTTTAATACATGAACCCCATCACTGATAAGATGTTCAAATCAGAATGAGCATTTTAAATGCCTCTGCTGTATCACACTCCACTCTGTTCTTTCATTAGCTTCCTCCAGAAGCTCAGGATAAAGTTATATGTTTAGATATATGCTTAATCTATTATACCTTTTCTCTCACTCTGAGAACACTGTTAATTTATATTGTTTTTAAAAAAAAAAATCCTTTTTCCCCTTCTGATATTTGGAGGTTTTTAGTGCTAAATTTGTACTATAGGGTACACTGAGTACTAGAAAAAACATTTTTTCATTAACAGCACACTTTGGTTGTGATTAGAGAGATAAACCCTATAACCTCTTTAGAGTTGTAAAGATACCACTCTTGTTTAACTACAAGTGTGTTTTGAAGACTGCAAGCGGACAAATTTGGTAGCTGATAGTAGATATACCATATTTTAGACAACTGGTCCAAAGTTTTTAGCTGTCTCAATTTACTTGCCCAGTCCAAGGTCATATATGTGCACAGTGACTATTTAAATGCACTTGGCTGTGGCCAAATTACATTTCTAAAAATACGGTCAAAGTAACAGTACATGTTCCAAATATAACAAAGGTTAATTGAAATACATTGTCAAGGAGATCCCCTGTAATTTCCCAACTCCACATTTTGTTAAAAAAGCCTAAAGGAAAAATGTAAGTACTTATGAGATGCTACTGTCATTAGTCAGGAAATTACATTCAAATGCAGAAACCCAGTTTCAAACAGTGGAGCAAGACTAGGACAGAAAAATATCCTCACTTCAATTAAACTATCCAAGGTATGATACAATGAATAGTATGTCCAGAGTATGATACAGTGATAATACAACACATTACAGCTTTTAAAATACAAATGGAGCAGCTATTTCTCATGAGAAATAATCACTTTTGGTATTTATTAGCAGTGTTCATACTCAAAAGACTCTGAAACAAGCCCCAAGTAAGTAAAGTCAAGCTTAAAACTAAATTATTGTCATAAGGCCACAAACTAAGCTAAAACTTGTATCAGTGATTGTGGGAAAAAAGAACAAAAATCCCCATACATGAAGAAATTACAGCTGTGGTTTGGAATACACATGAAGCAGTTTTCTGCAGCTCAGTGAAAAACAGTAACTCTTAAAGAAACAAAGCAGCATAAATAGTGGTGTTCAAGAGGCATAACACCCTACATTAGCTGTAGTTCATTTGTGTCTCTAGTAAGCAATGACTAATGAGGCATATTAAGTCTGGCATTTTAAAGGGAAATAATTTGGTAATCAGAAAACCCCAGAGTTAACAGCCTTGAAGCTGATAGCATTTCCTTTTAACCATTTCTCTCGAGACAGGAAAAGTTATGAAAATTTTAAAGGAAGGGAAGTTACATTTGTAGTTTATAGAATAGTTTTTCCAAGGAAGACAGATTAGTTTTGCTAAAGTTTTTCAATTTGTTTTGTTGATTTTGGGTTTTTTCTCTCTCCTTCCACAGAGAACTTACATCTTCACTTTCCTGTTGAGCTCTCGAGTCTTCATTCACCCACACGAGCTCCTGGCTAAAGTGGGACAGATCTGCATTAAACAGAAGCAGCAGCTGGAAACGGGGACTGAGGCAGAAAAGGTAAATGGACCATAATGTCCTTCAGTTAGCTCCTGTCATTTATTTTCCACTCCCTCCTTCCCATAGTAAAGCTAAATAGACCGATAAAGAATAAAATGAAATTGTAACTGGCATTTGTTCCTGGATGCACTGTTATTTGGGTCTTTTTCCTTGAAGTACCTTTACTTCACTTGCTAGCCACAAGCATAGGTTATGTACAACCTTACCAGTCAGATGCAATGTCTACAAACACGACTTTACTCGGGAGCTACAGGTCAGTGCAGCAATGTGTATCTGCCATGAAACCTGCCCAGAAAGTTGGTTTGCACTTTTGAGCTTTCACCAGCTTAGGTTTTTCTTGAGTCCCATTTCCCTTTCTTCAAGTCACCCTCGCCATCGTAATCAAGTGCTCAGCTGTAGGTTGGGGTATTTTAAGTTGGTGTAACAGTAAATCAGAAAGTTACCTCTCACAAAAACTAAGAGATGCACTATTTAAAAGGGTAACCTGTGCTGACATGTTTTACTACTATCGATTAAACCAAACTGGCACTTAAATCCATATAAGTATCACCACTTGCAAAGTGTGTATTGGAGGACTTTTTGACTGAATTGAAAAGTCAAGTCAAGTCTTTTACAGAAAAGTCCAAGCAGGGAAGCAAATGAGAGTAACAAACCCAGGATGGGATCAGCAAGTATTTAAATACCTAAATTGTTCAAATCCTTGATATGTTTTGCATCCATTCTTTGATGAGAAGTTACAAGCTCACATACCTAATCTTCAGCATATCGATAGTTCCATTTTGTTTTCTCCTTGGTGTATTAGCAGTCTGAGTGAGGAGTACAAAAGTAGACTCTGTGATTTGTCAATAAAGAGTTTTTGACAGCAATACTGACCCAAGGACTTCTTTCTCCTGGTGTGCAGCTTCTTATTATGTCATAAAATTACTCCACAGGACAAACTGACCATGGTGCAAAATACCTTTCATCCAGGTCAGTCCCCTCATCTACTCTCCAAATAGCTATTTAACTTGTCATGTAGGTGCTGGGGAAAAGAAGGGTTCAGGGAAAGAAGATGCAAGAAGCACTGCCTCCAGTTCTGTACACAGAGGTGATAACTGTTCCCACTGCCAAACTTAACTCATGACTGAGCAACCTCAAACTCTGCTCTGTAAATTGTGATGGTTCCTCAGCAACATGTAACTAAACAACAGGAGTAGGAACCTCTAAAAGATGCTGAGACCATCTGAAATATGGAATGAGTAAATCAGAGCTTTAGACATATATAAAGACAACTGTGAGTAGAAAGTGTCAAAATACATTTGTGAAGTAGTTGGATTTAAAGTTAATGGGATATAAGATGACACTTTTGTGAATGACAATGCACTTAGGAGATTTTCAAATGAAAGCAGTCTCTGGGGACTAAATCACCTGGTTGTTTAAAGATACAATACTAATTGTAAAGTATTATTAGTCTGGCTTCTTAGCAGATGTGCTGAAAAATCATGGCTTCCTAATAGAAATTAAATAGCATTACATCCTAACAACAGGATGTAAAATAGAGCAGCTCATACTCCAAACACCCACACTGTTACACCTTCTGCTGACAATTTGGAAACGGGCCTACAGGAAAACCAACAAGCAGCAGGATGACAATAAAACATTTTAGGGAGGCAGCTTTAATTTACATGTTTTTCTGGTTGCTCTTTCTACTATGCCCTTGATCCCTTTCTACTCCCTTAACATAAGCTGTAATTTTTTCCTGTCTTCTAAACACAAACTTCTTCGAAAACACTACATAAACTTCTGACATCCCTTTCATATTACTACTTTACTGCCCTCTACTGCAAGCACCTGTATGTTTTACAAAATAGTTTGGCCACTGGCATTTGCAAACATTTGTTTTTCTGTCTGGCAACAAATAAAAGCTCATTTCACATGCAGCATAGAAACTCTTGACTCAAGATACTGCTAAGTATTCACAGTCATAATCCATTAAGGCATCATCAGTTACCAGAACCTTCTAATTAAGTGGGTGCATAGCAGGAAATAGCTGACAAAAGCAGTTAAAGCATCTCTGATCATTTCTGATAGAGTATGCTTAGGCAAATCTGTTAAGACAAGAAGCTGGCCAGCTTGTTGCCTGAATAGTGTGTGAGCTGCAAAAGTGGCAAGAAACCAGATTCTGAGGTTACACACCACAATACTTATCTTTTTGTTGTTTTTGACATTACTGGCTAGCCAAAGAGTCATACAGAAATACAGCCCAGAGAAAAGTGGATTAAAAAGAAAAACAATCTGCGATGTCTTGGAGCCTGCTTAGAGTCCTTTTGACTACTCATAAATAAAGGGAGAATTTCACAGTTCAAGACATCAATTATAATAAAGAAGTCAGTAGTTAAGCTTGACCATAAAGGAAAAAAAATTAACTCTCCCTAAGTGCATTAGAGATTGTAAAGATTCAACAAGGTTGTCACAGAAGAAAGCACTAGTATAGTATTACTGAATGGAAAAAAGCTGCAAAAACGGTTGTGCATTATTTCTGCAGCTTGAGGATATTTTGTAACTAAAGAAGTAAGAAATAAAAAGTGAAAGTAGAAATTAGTTTCTATTAAGTTTGTCTTGCCTGTCTTGGAATACTTAAGTCCCTTTAAAAATTATAATTTCCCCTGGGTTTTGTTGCCAGTAAGTGCTCCTTTTTAAAACCAAAAATAAAAGAAACACTCATAACCAGGTCATTGTCATTAAACCTTTCCTGCCATTGCCCTCCTTTCTAATTAGGAGTTGTTTCTCAGTCCTGTCTTGTCTCATGCATAACAGGGTCAACCCACAGTACTTAGATTAATAAAAGTATTTTTCTCTTCAAAGAAATGTTTATGGGAGAATTATTCCCATGGACTCCAGAGAACTCCATCAGGCCTCACAAAGGGAGTCTTATGTCTGGAGTAAGGCTACAGGAAAAGTAGGTTGGTAGTTTTATCTCAGCCATGACAGAAAGGAAACTGTGTGCTGGTACCCACAGACCTGCCTGATTTCCATCTGGTACCCACAGACCTGTGTGATTTCCATCTAGGTTATCACATGCATCAAGCCTGTCACGTTGCTTTGGGTTTCATCAGAGTGCACATGAAACAGAAATCCCGTGTTCTGCTGCACCTGTGTCTCTTAGTGTTGCTCTCAGAAGGTGTACCTTATTTTCATGAGCATTAAAAGCATCTGATAAAACATTAAGCTTTTTTAGACCTGAAGAGCAATATGGTTTGCAGTTTGTCTTGCAACAGATGCTTGGCTTTCTGTCATAAAGGAGGCAAACCAAAATAACTCACGAGTGGATCCAAGAGATGGGAAGTCAGTGTTCCTAAGGCACTGTGTTTTAAGCTGTGCAGGGAGTATAAGTTGAGATAATTTGCCCTTAAATACACCAGCATTAAAAAAGCATCAGCTATGACTGATGTGGTCTCTTCAGCTGCCGGGGTCAGTCCAGATAACCCATAAATTCTTTATGAACTAAGTATTAACATAGAGATGCTTACCATGGACTAAGGTAGGATTTTGGAACCTTTCTGCCCCCACCCCTCCTTTTTCAGTTTCAAAAATTAAAAAGAAAGGATAGTCAGGATGATTAATACTAAAAAACAGTTCTGTAGCAGCTTTTGGTAAACAAAAGTGGAGTAGTCATGGCCTGTTAACTTTAATTGAATGGAAGTGCACTGGCTGCCTAATTAATTGTCTATCACCACCTAGAGATTATTCTTTTATTAATGTCAGGCTCCATGCATTTCATAGCAAATAAGTATAGATTGTCTTTTCCCCAAGGCAGATGACAATGGGAGCTTGGAGGACAGACAGCTATAATCTGGAACTCTGTCCCATGCTGTTGAGAAATACCTTGAAGCTGGGCTCCACAGGAGAGGCACTGACAGACACTGTTTTGCAGGAATGCCCACTGCTGGCAAAGATAATAGTCATTTTTTCTTTTTGCCCTCCCTGCCTATCCATTCTGTGCTACTCTCACTAGCAGCATCAATTAAATGCTGTCAGTAAAACCAGCTAGGAAAAGCAGTTTGGAAGTCTTTAAAAAAAGCAAACACAAACAAACAAGGAAATTCCCTCTAGACTTACAAGGAGCCCTGGGTTATTGTCAGATTGAGGATTCAAGGGTGCATGGTTTAACTTCAAAGTTCTTATCAGTCATTGCTAATATTCTCCTTGACATATAATGCTGAGATGTTAAAAACAAAACAAAACAAAAAAACCAACAAAACTTAGTTTAGTTGACTTTTGGTTTTGATTAAATAAACTGGGACGTACTATGATCAGATGATGTTTTGGCTGGCATTCCTACCAGTATTTGGAAGACATTCTCTATTTGTCTTAAAAGAAAACACACCAGTTTCCTGTACTGACACTCACATGCTCAGTCACCTTCTGCCACCCCCAAGAGGCTGCTGGGCAGCACAATGAGGAAAGTGTTGTACATGGGGAAAAGGAACTGCTGTCTAGTGGGACTTCTGGCTTACACAAGTAGAGAGGTAAACACAAACCTTCCTTGTTGTCCCCAGTGCTTCACAGGCTGGGTGAGAGGATAAATATAACCTAAATTAAGTTTTGATGCTTCTTGTCCATTAAAAGTGTTCTTAGCATTCACACTCCCAGTTTTACAAGAGTTCTCCCTTCCATTTACTGATGGTGCTCTCCATTGCTACAGCAGTGGAGTAATTGGCATCCAATTCACGTCTAGCTGAAGAAAAGCCTTAGAAGATTCACAGGTAACAAAAAAACCTGAAAAACATAGCTCTCCCTTTCTGTGGTTGATAGCTTTTTGAGCAAAAGCCAATACTTTTTATTTTCTAAGTCTATTTTGATTTAGATATCATGGAGAGAACACACACGTCTTTCCCGTTGTTCATTTATTTAATATACAGCTCAGTCTGGACAGTCTGATAAATTCTGGAGAACAGAAATGTCTTTGTGAACGTTTCTCATGGAAGACAGTCAGTAGAGTGCTGTAGTTTGTATGAATTTGAATTCAAACACTAAGGTACTGCTGCCTCAGGTGGCCTAAATCAGCTTAAGTCCCACAGACTGCAGTTAAATAAGTCGCTTGAACTATTCTGTCATCTTCCTGGCTTTATACAACTAACCTTGAAATATCTTCAGATATTTTGGTAAGAGACATTACCAAGCTATAATAAAAGGAGGCTAAATGATACTATTTAGGAATCTAGCTCACAGTTAAATATGTTCTTTTTTTGTTCCCTTCACCTACTAATACTGCAAAGTATTTCCAAGGGTGTCTCTAGATTTCTGTGAACCTTCATCAGCTAATTCAGTCTCCATTCAGAAAGGTCTGTGGTCAGTAATCACCTCATTGTTTCTTTCTAGGCAAAACTAAAATCCTTTGCTGCCAAAATCATTCAGCTGCTGAAGGAATGGACTGAAACTTTCCCCTATGATTTCCAAGATGAAAAATCCATGAAAGAATTGAAGGAGATTGCTCACAGGATCACACAATGTGATGAGGTAGGGGTGGGTGAGGAAAAAAAGTTAAGTTTAAAGCAGTATTTGCCAACTGTTATATGTGGTTTGTCATATTATACACAATACTGCAGGCAGTATTTTCTAAATGAACTAAAGCAGCATTTGCTAAGCTGTCAGTGTAACTACCAGGACATGGGCTGACTGATGGACTTAATAGTCCATTAGCAGAAACTGTCTATGTCTAATCACCAAGTGTAAGAAGAAGAGACAAAATAGTCATGACAATATGAAAAGTGACTGTGGTGCAGAAGGAGAAAGAACAGTAACTATAATGGCTCAATATAGCCAACTTTAATAATGAATTATGTACCTTCCTTTGTACATTGTTATTGCTCTGTATGTCTAAGTTTTGCAGGACATGTGAACTAGTTGTATCAAGTGTACTCTTGACCAGAGTGAAGATTATTATTTAATAGCTCATTCCCAGCTTCTAACAATAATAAGCAGCTGTTTTATTGCTGTGTTTCAGGTGACATGCACAGTATTTCTATAAACAAGGTTATATTTGAGCTCTGCTAGATACTCAAATCACCAGTCTTAACAGCTTTGAGTTTTTAGCCTGTGAAGAAAACTAGGCCTCACAAAAGACTTTTAAAGAGAATTTGAATAAAACAAGGACTGTTAGTTATCGGGAGGGGGTGGGGAGTGTTTCTTGGGGTTTTTTTGTTTGTTTTGGGTTTTTCCAACACTCACAAAGCCTACACTTTTTGCTTATTGAGAAAGTCACCGTAACTACCATGAGAAGGAAAAAAATAATCGAGAACTGCAGGAGAATTAATTGTAAAATGCCTGTATGAATAGGAAGGCTTACTTACACAGAAGTAGAAGCTTCTCATTGTTTTTAAACCCACAACCTTAAGATATTTTTGAGAACAATTAGCAGGAAATGGGAAGACAGTTGTATTATGTGTTCTTGTTGATTCAAGTACAGAAAAAATGAAGAACAACAGGTTTGACAGCTCTGCATGAATCAAGGATAGGACAATACAACTAGGTGTCATCAAGTTATCAAAAGCAAGTATGTCACCTCTGTTGCATCAGCAAAGCTGTTGACGTGGATGCTACTATGAAAATGTCAGTGCCTTAGTAGGAGGAGAACAGGAAATAGGATTATAATATTCCTTCTATTCCCTTTGTAGACAAAGACAAAGAGGTTGGCAGAGACAGTAATGTAAAAGGGGACTTGGCAGAGGTTTTATTTAGTGTCTATATCTTAGTAGTTAATTTGTCTGTTACTTTGAACTAGAAAGAAGTCGTGCCCTTTCTTTCTCTTCCCTTTCCCTCCCACTCTGTTGTGTATGAATAATTGGCATTTGAGAAAAACACATCTTCATGGGATGGCTCAGTGCTGTGGTGTCCAAGGCATCTGATGACATCCATTAGTTACAGCATCACCATGTTTATCCCCTTACAAGGCTACCAGTCAAGTTTCATCAGTGATGAGCTCTGCCACATTTGACCCCTAGGAAACATAATTTGACAAAAAGCAGCTTTTGCTCTTAAGTTTTTCTTACCACATCAAATTACCCATACTATGCTTCAGTGAGGAATTATGGTAAAGGTTTGGGGGTTTATTTTGTATTTTAAAGCTTTCCAAATCCCCTTAAGACACTATTCTTCATTTATAAGGTAGAGAATCAACTGAGGACTCCTACAAAGCAGTCAGGTGTTGTGCTAATGATATCAGACAGCATACCAAATAGCTATAGCTACAGCCAGGGTTGCACCCCAAAGGAAGTACAAATGTCTTGTTTGAACTCAAAGGACAAATTATTGTACAGTCATTGGCTTATTTTTCAAAGTTGAAGGAAAATTTAGGGTAAAACTGGTAAGGAAAGGAAAGTGCTAAATATCTGACATTTGTCTGAGTATTAAGATGCTAATAAATTCACAGTAGCTTAAGTAAGCTGTAGTTTTTGTGTCACTGAGTTTCTTTGTTCACTTTTAAGTCATATCTGCAATACTCTCACGTATCTTCAAGTTTAATTTTCTACAATCCATATCCAGAAAGTCTGCTTCCTCCCAGACGTATGGGTAAGTCAGGCATAGCAGCTGAAGTCAAATGATTTACAATAGAAAGCTCAGCATACCAGAGATCAGGATTAGTGCTTTATTTCAGTTCCCACCACCACTCTCCCTTGGCATTTTGGAACACTTGTAGCACAGTATCAGGAGTGGCTTCAGCCAGCTGCTGTTCAGCAGTAACCCAGTTGCCTCAAGATGAGCTACACTGCCTTCAGCTTTGCATTTGATTTCACTTGGGAGTCAGATTATTGGCTTGTAAAGCAACATTCTGACACCATTATCGCTTAATTATAACATGCAATATACAAGTATTTGGTAGTCATCATCTCTCACATCTGCCACATAATTTCAGTCATCACTGCACATTAGTGGCTTCTTTGAATGGTCACAGATTCATTGCAATTCTTTGTAGTGGATCCAGTTGACTGGCAGAAACCAATACAGCAGGTTGTAAACTAAAGGTCAACCTTGTGGGTATCTTCAAGAGAAATAATTTGCATGAAAGCAAGAGAGGGATTGTGTAATAAAAAGGAGAAGGACTATCTGCAGTTGAATTAATTTTCCTAGCAGCAGAAAGAACATGGTTGGAGAATCTGGGTCATTTAAAGCAGAAACAGGAGAGATAGAGGAGTAGGAAAAGGATCAAGTTAGCTCTTTGCAGTTGATCTCAGAGAAATGCCTGTAGGACACAATCAATGGCAGAAAAAAAAAATCACCTTGCCTCAGTTGTCAGAACACTGAGCAGATTATGTGTCTTTGGCGTTACCAGTATGTATCCTCACAGATCCTGTATTTAAAATCTGCACCTGATGAACAGAGAGGCATTTTAGTTGTCCAAGAACATGACATCTATTGTGCTCTTAACCTAATCTTTGGATGCTCTAATTGTTCAAAGCCAAGCCAGAGTATTTCAGGGGTATATTCCTGGTCATAATGTGAATTCCCTGGATTCTGCCTGGGCTAGATAGACTGGATTCATCAATATGTCCAAATGAGAAAGAGCTTTTTGGCACTTGGTGCACAGAGGTTCCAAGAAGCCTTATGCAAGCAACTCAACCTTTCACTATACCCAGCCTTCAGCTGTTTACAGATGCCTTTGAAATGGGGTACTAGGGAAGGGAACAGACCAGCCAAGCAAGTGAAACAGAGCTGGGGAGGCAGGCAGGCATAACAATGTTGTTACAGAGCTGTGTGGGCATTTAGGACAAGTTCATTTGTCACAGAATGATCAGCTCAGAGAAGATGAAAGAAAGTGGATAATAGACATTTATTTTTCCCAGTCAGAAATTCTCCAGTGATCTGTATCTGCAATAGCTAAAGGTTTTTAGCAGTCGTTGTTTCTGCCTTTTGCTTAGGAAAATGGGACAGTGAAGAAGATCATTAGCCAGATGACACAGAACCTCCTGATGGCCCTCTCTGCACGGAGCCAATACCAGGAAATCAGAGAGAAATTCCGGCAACCCGTTACTGACAAAGGCACCATCCTCAAAACCAAGCCACAGTCAACTCAAAAGGACATCCTGAGTGTGTGCTGTGACCCTCTGATCTTGGCACAGCAGCTGACCTACATTGAACTGGTGAGACACTGATTGGTGTGAATTACTTTGTTTTCCGTTTACTAGATATTATTACACTCATCAATATGAATTTTGCTATGGCTTTCACTGAAAGCCTCCAGTGTTTCAATCAAAACATACCAAGTCAGATAATGAACAAGACCAATTAGGTACAACTATAAAAACACCTCACACATCTACCCTGTAGGAAGATAAAAGTTACCAAAATGTTCTCCTAACTTTGACTTATTGATTCTTTTTTTTTTTCACTGAGCTCCCTGTTTGTCTGTACAGTAACAATCTCTCATCTCTCCAAATGCAGGAAAGGGTGAGCAACATTTACCCAGAGGATCTGATGCAGATTGTGAGCCACATGGACTCCCTGGATAATCACAAGGTATAAAAAAAAGAGTATAGAGGGAAAAAGAAGCAAAAAATAACCAGAGTCAAGAGCCTCCATAATATATGTGGAGTGTACACATATGGAGTATACCCTGTGCAAGAAAAACTGAAATTTTCTAAGCTTCTTTAAGCTTATGCCTTAAAAAAATACCCAACAAGATTTTATCAAGACACAAAAAGGAAGTTTATCCTTTGGTACGTTGGCTTTATGACGACACAGGATAGATTTAACACATGGCCTGTTCTCTTGCAGTGCCGAGGTGATGTGACCAAAACCTATAACTTGGAGGCCTATGACAATTGGTTCAATTGTCTCAGCATGCTGGTGGCTACAGAGATTTGTCGGGTAGGTATTCGTAGAAAACAAGATAAGCAAAGGGATGCTGGCCCTAAGGACAAAAGGCAGGCAGTGGTCTAATAGAGATTTAAACATTAGCAGGGCAATTAAAGATAATGGCATTATTCAAGCATTAAATTATTTGCATGCTTCTATGATTAAGAGTTCAAGGCTATGTTTGGCTTTGCATATATTCTCTAGTTTTGTGCAGCTTCCATAGTAGCATTAGTCATGCAGTGAAATAGAACTTGTGTGGACTGAGTTAGGAGCTATTTTGGATTTTTTTTTTAATAAATCCAAAGATTCTTAAAAATACTCATATTTAAATGCAGTTTTACCAATAAACAGCTGTCCTTCCACTGCATTTAGATATCATTAGCACTGGTATGTATTCACTTTTTAATTTATATTCATTCATTATAGTAATGCAATATTCATTGTAGAAAAATTGAGAATAGGCTTTCTTAAAGCCTAAAAAGAAAGTGGACTACTGGAAAGGTTAAAAAAAAAGGGGGGGGAGAATAACCTTATTAGAGGTTAAAGTAACTTCTATCATATAATAAACAAAGAAATGGAAGGTGTACTGCCCCAGAAATCCCCTTTCTTTTTTTCTTTGCGTGTGTGTTCTCTTTTTAGATTCCTATTAATGTGTACCAGTTCTAGCAAAAGGGAATTTTTTTCTAGGCAATTAATTTTGCTTTGCCGTTTTTAAAAGAATTTGCAAAACAGGTGTTCAGCATCACTTGCTTGATCCTATGCACCTTTGCATGTGTGGGAATTTGTATATTTGATCATCATTACTACCTGCTCTCAAGAGCTCATTTAGGAGTACATGCAGCAAAATGAGAAAAGCAGAACGTGGCAATTGTTTTCTCTCACATTTTTACGTTACATGCCCCTGATCTTAAGTCTGTCCAATGCTTTCCTCACTTCTTGAGAGGTTTAAATGTTTTGCATATATTCTTTCTGATAGGAGTGTCATGTTAGCTTCCTTTTCCAGTAACAGGAAATTGCTGAAAGTCCCCAGCTTGTTTATGCAAGATTCCCAAAGACATTGACCTTAGGTATAAACAAAAATTTACACTCCCCCACAACTACACAATTAATTGGTAGTAGCCCCAAATATTTCTGCTATTTCATTAAAAATTAGAATCTTAACAAAATACCCTCAGGCCTAGTTTATGTCTATTCAGTCAACCTGTTACAATGCCTTTGGCTGGACATCCTGTCCAAAATTCAGACTGTCCCTTCCCTCTTAACAGATCTTGGGTTTTTTTCCAGATTGTAAAGAAAAAGCAGCGCACAAGAATGGTGGAGTTTTTCATTGATGTGGCAAGAGAATGCTTCAACATTGGAAACTTCAACTCGATGATGGCTATTATCTGTGAGTTTTTTTAACACAGATGGCAAGGGGCACACCATTTTACAACCTGACTGGCAAGGCTTTGCTCACACTTGCCCTAAATTGGCTGCCCACATTATCATGCACACTTCTACAGGGGCAGTGTCTGCCATTGACAGATTAGTGTGTAGGTGGGTGAGTTTTAGCTACAACTTCTGGTTGTCAAGCTGAAATGCCTTCCAGAATGTGTGGTGCTGATACATAAACACAGTTATATTAGACCTATTTTTTTTTTCCAACTCGGTTGTTTCTTTTTCTCCTCTCTCTGTGCATTCAGCTGGCATGAACTTGAGTCCTGTGGCACGGTTAAAGAAAACTTGGTCCAAGGTCAAAACAGCCAAATTTGATGTTTTAGAGGTATGTATAAAGTTTTAACTTTTATATATAAATCTACCAAATAGTTTAGTCCAGACCTCTGCTAATTACTACATCAGAGATCACAGGGACACCTGTCAGTGCTCACCACCACATAAACGTTAGGAGGAGCATTTCCTGCATTTCAAACTCTCTACGTGTCTGCAAAGAAAAGTGGATGCAAGTTTTCTTCAGGCTATTTTTTCCTAGCATATTTTTGCCCGTTTAACTTCAAGGTAGTTTCCACTCCAGTAAATGCTGCCTTAAAAGTAATTAGAGTCCTCCACCTAGTGGCGATCTGCATGGAAACAAAACCCAACTGAAACGGTCATCAAAAAGAGAGGTGACTGCAAATGAGAATATTGGGGTTTCCCCCAGATAGTCATCTATGATTTCCTTTCAGTCTGCTTTGCTTCAGCGGTTAATGGAATAGATGTAAAGCCAGCACAGAATCCTCCTTTCAAACAAGATAGAAGTTAGAAAAACCTGATTAGTATGAAGATGCTCTATCTTGAAAGTCTAAAAAGGGACCAAACAAATTTATAAAGAATGAACTCTGATGGTTAGATCGAAGTTTCTTATTTGTAGGACACATGCATTACTTGACCATCTTTTTCCCCCCTGTATAAAACCAGCATCACATGGATCCATCCAGCAACTTCTGTAACTACCGCACAGCCCTGCAAGGAGCAGCACAGCGATCTCAGACTGCCAACAGCAACAGGGAGAAAATAGTCATCCCAGTTTTCAACCTGTTTATTAAAGATATCTACTTCCTACACAAAATACACACCAACCGCTTGCCCAACGGGCAGATAAATTTCAAGGTAGGACTTTGCTGTTGTAGAAACTGTAATGCTTGTTAAACATTATCCATTGCAAATATTTGCCAGTTTTGAACTCCTAGCTCATTATATTACCAATTCCTTCAGCTTTGCTGTGATCTAGACAAATCATGTCCCCTAGACATCTAGGGGAAATGATTTGAATCACATTTCTGTGAAAGCCAGTGGTTGCTTTTCTGTGGCAGCACAGCAAGCCATCACATCGGATCAAATTCTAATGGGTAACTTCACCCTAAATCATCAGTGTGAGCTCACTGAACCTCATCCATTTAGGGTGCTATAAATGCTCCACACAACCAGCAAATTGTATTTATCAGGTCTTCAAGGGAGGTTCTACAGGTTCTGGATTCTCTCTCCCCAACTAATAAACATGCATGTCTAAAAGACCACAGACTGTCAAAAATTTTTTTGACAAAAATTTTTTGTCATTACTAAGGCTGGGTAAGGGGGCACACAGAATATACAGGATCATGGATTTCTTAAAATCCTAGGAAGGAAAGGATATCTGAAGTTTCTATATGTTATTTTGATTATTTCCTAAATTGAAAGAATGCTTTATGAAAAAATTAGGTATGTCACACTTCATTTAAATTGAAGTTTGGAAGTGTAAAAAGTAAAGTAAATAAAAACAACCATTTACTGTCCAGTTCCAGTCACAAGCTAATATGGCACAGAAAATAGGCCAAGGCACTATTATATATGAAGAAAAGGTTGATGATGAAAAGAATTCAAGGCAAAAGACTGGACAGCAGAGATATACTCTTCTAAACTTGAGAGACTAAGTAACAGCTGATGAGGAATTAGGAGCAAGAGAGCAAGATGAAGGGTGCAGTAAGAAGAAAGGATAACAGTGAATTCTGAGTAAGGGACAATAAGAAGCAGCATGAACAAGAACAAGACTGAGATCTTCTGAAATTGAAACAAAAGAACTAATATTTGAAAAAAATATTATTTTAATAATTCTCTTTTAATTAATTCATGCAGAAGTTCTGGGAAATTTCAAGACAGATTCATGATTTCCTGACATGGAAGCAGGTTGAGTGTCCTTTTGAAAAGGACAAGAAGATCCAGAGCTATCTACTCACAGCACCCATTTATAGTGAAGAAGGTACAATCCTTTACTGAACATTATAATGAGTCTTCCTACTTGTTGAAATGCAGACAGAGTATGCAGCTAAAAATATTAATGTGCAAAAATGTATTTGATAGCATGATCAGCATTTCCATATTGGTTTCTGATAATGAAATTTATTCTCATCAAGTCTGCTAAGTTACACCCGCTATATATCCTTTAGACATTTTTTTTTTCAGTTGAAGAACCCACATATCTGATTTTTCTTATTTTATTTACTAGCTCTGTTCATTGCATCCTTTGAAAGTGAAGGTCCAGAAAACCACATGGAAAAAGACAGCTGGAAAACACTCAGGTATGAAGCTTCCTCAGAACATAAGTCTTTTTGGAAACACACACAGGCACGTCATCATCGGCTTCTTCTGTCCTATTTGCATACCCAGCTTAAAACCAAAATAAAATTGTTTTCCCTTCAAAATTCAAATCTGAAGAAGTTCAGTGAGGCTTAGATTTTGATACAGCTTTTTCAGCAGATCTGTTGATGCTGCAAGATCATTGCTGGGACTATGAAAGAGACTATGCTTTATTTTGGCTATCAAATACAGTAAAATAATCTACATTTTTAGTAGCGCTCAGACACACTTTTCTCAGGGAAACAAACGCATAGAGATACTAAGAAGGTGCTCTCCTCATAGCTATCCACTTACAAATCTTATAAAAGGATGAAAATTTCTAAAAATACTCCAGTTGTCAGCCTTCTCTAAGGGATAAAGTCCCAATGACTCCTCATCCTTGTGAGAATGGGAAGCACCATTTCCATGTACTTGATGAGATCAATTAATTAAATTTCATCCAACACTGAGGCCAAGGCAGAGAGATTCAGACCTTCATAAATCATAAGATTTAACATATCTGTACCAGATAAAGAATGATAAGGCCTGTATGCCCTGAGCTGCAGTTGAGCTTCATTATGACTACATTGTCTTCGATGAGACATCATTTCTTATTGATCCCAACGTTTCTAAGAAAGTCCATGTAAGCTTTTTACTTATGACACCAGTGCAATGTACCTCCCATGAAATCCAACACTGTTCAGCATGCAACAGTTTAGGGTGACAGAGGAGCATGTTATATGCCTGAGTGAATCCTAAGGCCCCGAGGTAATGTCATGCAAGTTAAAGTTTCATTTCATTTAACATCAGCATCCTTACTGGAATTCATAGATGTATTCCAGTTTCTAGCAGTTGAAAATCTATCCCTTGAAGAAAAGCTAATTATGCAAGATAGATCCATTGCAGATCTGAAGAACTTTTTGTTCTGATAGAAAAAATAATTTTACTTTTTTTGTTACTTTGTCTTTTAGGACAACTCTGCTTAATAGAGCCTGAGATTTTTGGATCTGATTTGCAGACTTTGAAGCACATCTAATGAACATGTTTTTACAACATGAATGAAAGACTTGGACTGTGCTAAGAAAGACCTCACTGGATGAGGTCTGTTTTGTATATACAGTAACTTTTATGAAATAAAATGTGGTAAATATTTCACATGTCAACCTTAAGGCACTTACTGAAGGGTTTTGGTTTTTTATTTTAAATATAAGGGCAGGGCCCTGTTCTCAGAGATGAAATGTATCATGGGAGATGGTATCCCTGGGGAGATCTTATTCTATCAGCATCCAAATTTTTATTTTTTATTACTTCCACCAAAATAAGTAAAAATTAAAACACACATCCAACTGAAGCCAGTGTTCAGGTTAAATACTCCATTGGACCAGTACCCTACAGAACACTCAACACGTCTCTAGCTTTGAAATTAGCAAAACTGTTCACAGGTGTTAGTAAGTGTCTGTAGAGTCAAGGCCTTTGACATCTGCAGTAAGCATGTTCCTCTCCTACATCAGAAAATAGTGCCTTACAAGGTACTGATCTCGTTTAGTGTACCTTATTACGCTGGACTGGAAGTAAAGGAAATAAAAATATGGATGTCTCGAAACCAGCTACAATGTACTTTTTAAATAAAATGGAGAATTATGGCACATGAAGTAGAGTATACCTGCCTGTAACACTGATGGTGCAGCAAACCTATTTTTGTTACATGATTTAAAGAGATAAGACGGGATAACTGCTGGGGTATGTGCGTTTGTGTGTGAGTATGTGTGCGTGCACAGGTGATGATGCACACATGTCTAAGTTTTAATACTTCTGGGAACTATCCTTTAAATTCTGGCTGTCAGAGTAGTTTGTGTTTTCCTTTTGAAAAATCAGGGATTTTTTTGTTTGTTTGTTTGAAGAGAAGGATGTCTAACCTAGATTATCTCTGCAAAACAGGCCTAGTATTTTGTTTTAAAAAGAGTTTTTGGAAAATAAAAAAAATCATCACGGGCTAGGGAAAGGGAAGTAAACTCAGATGTCCAATTTGAAGTTAAGGCTAAAGTTTCCAAAGAAGCTTAAGAGTTCTTCACCACTGAATTGGTCATTTAATTCCCTTGGTTCCTTTGAAAAGTCTAGTCTGCACTTACAGACAATTAAAACAGAGACCAATTTAGGATGCAAGCTTTTTCTAGTCTTTTGCAAGGCATGTCTGGGCCAGAACCCATTGAAATTTAAGGGCAAACACCATAAGAAATTAATCAAACCTTTGAACCCAGGTCAGTACCAAAATTAGAGGTGATCTGCAAACCCATTTCTAGTTTCTCCTTTTAGTGTTGAGTTTACACCTAATTCAGCTATTCAAATTAGTACCTGAAGAGCTTATTCAAGGTATTCATTTCCAGGAAAGAAAATATATAGTTCAGAACTTATTTTCTCATCTGATCTCTGAATTAAGAAAAAAAATAAGCTCAGATTAAAACTATTTTGTCTAATGAACAAATTATTACTCACAAATACCTACTTGGCCCTTCCAGTAATTGTTCTCTTAAGGCTTGAGGGCAGAATGTAAAATAATGATTTGAGCCTGATGATTAGATTGAGGGTTTTAATCGAGTTTTTGTTTGTTTGTTGGGTTTTTTTGGTTGTTGTTTTTTTTTAACCAACAAAAAACAAGTCCCTCTAGAGTTGACAGTGGTTACAGCCTCCCTCACAGAGCATTGCAGAAGACCCCTGCAAGGACGTCTTTTAAAATGACCAGCTCTAGGTAGACGGTGTTTATCTTATTCTGCCTTCTGTTGAAGAAGGGGCAAGACTTGCTGGACTGAGGGTCTGGTTTATTCCAGTTCAGTAGACTCTTCCTGCTTGAGTGCCTACAACCAAGAGCAGTGCCACTGTTTCATGTAGCATCTGCAGTCGCTTAGTAGAAATTTGCTGTATTGGCCCTGTAGTACGGTGAATAATTAAGAAGAGCTTTCCCTCTTTCACTTCCCCCTTGACAAATACTTAAAATTAGCAGAGTAAGTCGAGGTGAGGAAGGGAGACAAATCAACATTTTCCTATTCCCATAGCATTGACATCAAAGAGAAACAAAAGCAAGTTATACCATGAGGAAGGTAGAAGTAGAATACTAAATGTTAACAAGAACAGCCCAGGAAAGGGGAAGGAATAATTCTTATGACCTGCTGCTATTTTTCCTGTGCTGAAGTACTGACCTCTTCAGCCCTGGATTACAGTAAGAATATTTATACTGTATTATTACAGTGTTTTGCACTTTCAGAGATGTTCTAGCTAGTAACATTGTCAGACACTATATGAGGGATTGTATATCAGCTTTGTTTATGTAATTGAAGTTTAAAAGGGATGCTTAAAATTTAAGAAAAAAATATATATTTGAAATGCAATTTTAGAACACTTTCTGTAAATGTATAAAAGAGCTTTCACATGAATGTGCACTTCACCGGTCAATCAGTCCAAGTATATACTTGAAAACCATGCAGTATCTACATTGGCTCCTTTTTATTTCTCCTCCTCAGTTTGATACATTCCTTAAATACCGTGTTTTGCTATTCTGAGCTGAAATGCTAAATATAATGCTGTACCATAAAGCAGGATATTCTGTGTTTGACTGGATGTGCTTGCATTAATAAAAAAAGAAACTTGCTTCAACCAGGATTGGCTTTTTCCATAGTTATTTTTCACTGGCAAAGTTATCAAACCACAGCCAAGCAGCTGAATGAGGTGAACCAACTGTGAGAAGGAAATACAGTCATAATGAACCAACTGGTTACTTTCTGATAGTATAGTTACAAAACTATACTATGAAGTATTTAAATATCTTCCCACAAAGGCAAGAGTAACACTAAGCCGACAATATGCTGCCACTTATAATGTTCTCTCTGTAACAAGATTTTATGACTTCGATACAGTGTCTCTGCTACAGAATATTTTCATTCTCTCAATGAAAGTGATTAACAGTTCCACTCTGTAAAAACATTGTGTCCTAAGAGTTGCATTTCTTTTTTTTTTTTCCTCTGATGTATTTATCCTTTCAACAGGAAAGCACAGAACCGTTTGGTGGCTGCAGCACACTGCAGGATTTCCTGTGGCAAGGATCCGTTGACATTTCACCACCCCCAGACCTTTGGTTGCAACCACTATCCTTTTTCATGCCCTACTTTACAGAAGCAAAGCCACTTCTCCAAGGTCACACAGAGACAAGCACAGAGCTGTGAGGAGAATCCAGCTTTTCTAACACACTGCTCCAGAGAGACACACACTCCCTCCTTTCTCAGGGATATAAGCCTTAAAAAAATATTAGATCTTGCAAGTGCAGGAGCTCTGGAGGTCCTGTAAGCATTTTTAATCTGTTGAAAACTCCCTAGGGGAATTGTTTTGGTAAGCAGACATCCAGGACAGACTTGCAGAGTTGAACAGTACTACGCTCAGTCATCATAGCTCATTAGGAAAGATAATGATGTTTACCAGCATTAAGAGGATCAAGCAGATAAGCGTCTTCCTGATGGCCAGTTCACACTCATAATTAATATGAATATTACATCCTTGAAAACTCACTTCCAATTATGTCCCATCCAGTCATTAGGATAAATTAGCTATTTACACAGGCCTAAGAACAAGCAATAAAATTGCTTTCCAGGCACTTTACTGCCATTAGAGCACAACACACTGTGACAAGCAGTAGCTCAATGCCAGTAAGATATCCTTACTTACTTTAGCACCAATTTGATTTATCAAGTTAATAGTTCCCAAGGAACAGCTTTCTTTTAGCAAATAACTCATAGAGCAAAATTCAGCTGAGTAGTCAGCTGACAACTGATATTAGTACATCTTTGGAGAGAAATCAATAATTCTTCTGAGGATGTGCTGACAGATCTCCTTTCCTCAGTCTTCAATGTATATAGTTTTATCAGGGCAGCCCCAGCTTCCCAACTAACCAGAAAATCCTACAAACAGTATATGGAAGCACATTTTTGACCTGGTTGTCTGCAGCAATTAAATAGGGTTGTGTGGACAGCAAGATAGTTAATTCTTTCTTCGATTTTTTAAAAACATTTTTTTTTTAATCTGAAACTGTTAATGCATGTTTATCAAGGAAGTTTCCAGACCAGTGAGCATGCAAATATTAGCAATAGTTGCTTTCAAATGCTTCCTTCCATGGTTGCCCCTGGAATGGCAGGGATAGCTGGGTATGTTTTGAAGTTCCAGCCCATCTCTGTGGGTCTCATAGAGGTCCCTAACAGTGCAGAGGTTTGCTGTCCTTCACTGCTCCCCAGGGTGGGCCTTCGGGTTTGGAAGAGAAAGAATCCAAATTTAGGGGTATAGTTCTGCAGTAATTTGGAGGTACAATCGAAATTGTAAGCATTTCTCTAACATTGTAACAGTAAAGAATTGAAATATTTTTAGTATTTCCCACGTTGTAAGCAATTTTTGATATCAGCATTTTTGTGGTTTCTTGATACCACATTCAGCTTTTGCATAGAAAATCGATGCAGTTGATTGCTGTAAAACATCTTAGGGATATTGGTTTATTTTCATAATGAAATATTAAAAAGCAATCAAGTTCTATGTCAAGCAGGGAGTGCTGATCCAGTCTGAGACAGATATTCTGCCCCTTTACTTAAGGGGTGTGATGAGGAAGCAATTCAAGCCACCAGGAAATGCAACTTAAATTTAAAATTACCAAGACAAAAAATATACTGTTCCTAATCTACTAGGATGCATATTTTACAATATTGATTATTTAGGCTTCTGACGACAACTAATAAAAAGAACTTATATTTTGAAGTTCTGTAAGAAACAGTGTTTGGCAAAACCAATATACAGTTACTTGAAACTATTAGCAGCACCTACCAGGAGGAAAACCAGAACTAACCACACACACACACAAACAAACAAAGCAGCCAAAACCCAGGTCTGTTGCCACACAGAGGATTCCTGTTAACAACCCGACCTCAGCACTAAGTGTGGAGACCATATTACAGGATTGAAAGAAAGCTGAAAGCGAACACAAACCAAAGCACCGGTTTCAAACATTTCCACCTAATCCAGGACAGGAAAGAAGAAACTTGAAATTCAGCAGAAATTCGCTTCCAATATTTTTAATCTTATCTGGTGTCTTCAGATTAAGCAGGTATCTTAATCTTAAAAGTAATATACTTCTGTTTGGAGGCAGAAGTCAAATGAGTTATAGCAGAATCTCCTTACACAGAAAACTACTTAGTATCTTTTTAATCCCTGTCACATGAGCACACTAAGACCTCTTCTGATTCTGCGGGGTATTAAATTCAAGGCATCTTGCTATCCACCAGTGTCAACACTGAATGTTTCCTTTTAAATATTTACATAATTTCCAGTTGTTTACATTCAATTCAAAGAATATATTGCTAACAACACTCCACCTCCACAAATATCTATTAAAATTGCAAAGTGAAGCACAACTTACAATCACAGCAACAGAGCACTGGGGGACTCAGTGAACACAGTTTTAAGTGATGCAGTTCACTGAAGTCTTGAACACTTATGGCACTACCAGAATTTAATGAAACACTGAACTATTCATATCTGTGGACATAATAACTCAGTGCTGAAGAACTGATCTCGGTTTAGAAAAAAAAAATCACTCCTAAAATGCTTCAAAAACAAAATCCAAGCAAGTAATGAATAAATTCACAGGTCCAAGCCAATCAATTTTTTCTCATGTGCCACTTATCTCCCTTTTTAAAATTTTCACAGTACCCAAGTATTCCAAGAAGAATTTCACAAGAACCCAGCACCCAAAAGATCACTTTGACAAGATTTTTAAAAACCACAAAAGATAAACAGAAAAAACCCCAACATCTGCTCTATGTGGACTGCATTTACAGGCCAGGACAGCACTCCAGCTGCTCCCCAGAACTGCATGGCCCAGAAAAGCATGTGACTCTCACACTAAGAGAGTAACCCAAGCATTGATCTGCCTCTGAGCTCTCTCCAAAGTGTACCTGAGCACCAAGCAATCTCAAAGGTTTTTATTTTCTCTTCAAACCATCCCTTTAACATGATCATTTTCCCCATGGACTGTAATGCAAACAGCAAGAAGCCACTTAAGCTTGCATAAGGCTGCAGGAAATCTGTGCAAGAGCTCAGGCTCTCACAGGGCCAAAGCTGCTGCTGTGCCTGCTATCTCATGTTTCCACAGCTCTGCTCAGCTTCACCTCCCGCCTCCTCCACACTCATCACGCTGTGCAAATGCCCCCCACTGCTTCTCAGAGGAGCAGCTCCACATTTGCTTCACAGCTATGACTCTTCTTGTGGGGCTCACTTGCCACCACCTTCAGCAGGAGCCAGCCAAGTCATACACCATATCTGGGAAGGCTCATT